TTCCCACTTTCTTACTAATTCGCCTATTTTTTTAGCGAAGGCTTGACGACAAAATTAGGACATGGGAAAAGGTCTGAGTCTGTCTCTCTTTAACTAAATGTTCTCCGTCTTAAAATTTTTTCCTCAGTAGAGAGATATTTTTCTCAATAATGCCTAAAGGATAATTATTTTTAAAGAATATATTTGTCAGCCGTTGCAAAAACTTTAGTAATGACCATTTGTAGAGAGGAAGATGGCCCATTATTCATAGCGGACCGCGATGAAGTGAGATGAGTCTTGAAACACTACTTCTGTTCGAAAAATCAAATATGGCTTTGCTTGGTCGCCCCATTCGCCAAAGAGTGGCTGAACACAAAATTGCCACTATACCTTGTTTTATTCAATGACTCGAGGTAGCGGAGTATACAACATAAACTGGATAGAACAGTCCCAAACGTGTCGTTTTGCTGATAAGCGTGAGACTAGGAAGGCCATCTAAATCAATCGATCAGGAAATAAATTGGATATCACGAGTGTCAGCAATGAGATAGATAAGGACTACTTATATTAGTTGTTTGATCTTGTTTTCGCAACTTGATCATATTGGCAGGAAGACCTAGAGGAACTCACCTTGTCCGGAGTCCATAGTATACATTATAATTTCCAGAGTTGGAACGTGGACTTGGTACATTCCCAGACATTTCGCCGGCATCGTAGTAGGAAATGCCAGTACGTCTTTCCATTCTTAGCACCTCTGCTAAAAAGTTGTGATCTCTCATCCTACCTGGACAGACTGGTGAGAAGTCTGTCGACGAAACAGAAGAAGATTGAAGAGCTGGTGAAACAAAAAGAAAAATCGGCCTACGAATCAAAGAACATCAAAGACTCTGTAAAAACATGGATGCAGAAAGATCCAAATTAGTGGAACACATTGCACGGACGGGACACGGGCTGGTTATGGTGAAAATACGAGAAAACGCAAGATCCGAGAGGCCATCGCTATACGGACCGAAATAAATCTGGAAGACGACAGGATCAGCGCAAACTTTGAATATTGCCTAAGCAAACTCGGATAAGATCAGGCAACAGTAAGCTGAGCAAAGCAAACATGATTGGATAAAGGTAAAATCTTTAATTTTAGGAAAAGAACTCGCAAGGAGACCAGAAAGAAACAATCGGAAATCAAGACGAGACGTCTAAAGTGAGCCTAATCAAAACAGGTAGAACGACATCACTTGTGTCTTGGCACACAATAGACCAGGGCATAGGAAATCATAGACTTGGCACTGTGGATATAAGCACGATAGATGCGGCAGAGAGTAGAACTGGTTGGTTACCAGCAGACGTGTTTGATCACAGACGTGGTCCACGAAGCAAAGGTTTGACAATGAGAATTACTCCGGATCT